CTTCCCGCACGCAGCGGGCAGTGCCGCCAGCGCGGAGCTGCTCGGGACGGCGGCGAGCCTGGCCGAGCCTGGCTTCAAGCGGCGAGGAAAGCGAGGCTGAATTAGTAGAACAATTCAAACGCTTCTAAAACGCTCTGAAGCTACAGGTTCTAGCCGGAGCCACAGGCAGTACCGGGGGTGATGCGGTGCCAGCCCAGCTCTTCCCTCTTCCCCTCCCTCCGGCGAGCCCGTGTGAGAGCTGTCCCGAGAGTGGCATCGCCAGCTCTCCAGCCAAGCTTTCCTCTTTAAATCTCATCTTTAGCACTTGTTTTGTTTTTGTTTGTTTTTTTTTTTCCAGTTCTGTGAGACTGTGAAGATGATTATTCGGGACCAGAGGAGTGTGCTCGCCTCGGTGCTTGTGGGACTAGCGTCAATTGTCTGCCTAGGTGTGGCACCCTCCACCACGCTCCCCACCATCTTCATTCCATTCTTCCTGTGGATGGCTGGCTAACAGCCTTTCTGGAGGCTTCCGTTCAGTGTCTGTATATAGGATGTATACTACTGTATTTATGAAAGCACACATTACTCACTGGTATCATGTAAAGTTTCTTAACTTTGTGCACCATTTTAAAATACAACTTTGTCTAGAACGCAGTGCACAAGGCATAGCTTACTGTGTAAGCCAAATAACAGATTTCCTGAAAATCTTGGTATATTTTAACACACTTTTAAATCATGGAAAAAGTAGGGTTGCGATGCAGTTCTGCTCCTTGTCTTTAGCCAAAAATTATTCTGGTGACATCCTTCATGTTCTTCAGTTAATATCTGGGTGCCATAACTACTAATAAAAATGGATGGTGGAGTTCCACAAATGGACAGAAATGGAGAACAAACTGCTTACCTCTTCCGTTTATAGATACAGTGTATATTCAGAAATTACTGTCTTCATTCCTAAAATACTCCTTGCTGGAAATGCAAGTAAATTGACTCTTTTTTGAGAGCAAAGAAGAAAAAACAACCCTGAGCTGGGTGCTGCAGGAGCACATCTGGCCAGACCAGTTAAAGTCATTTCCCTTTTGGGAAATGTTCAGGAATCTGTCTTTGTATTAATTGTGCAAACACTTTTTACCTTATTGTTATTAACAACTTTTTTGTTGGGTTAGTGACAAGAAAGATAGCAATTCCTCACCTATTTCCTTGCCAGTGGTAGTGGCTAATATGGCTAATATAAATGGTTACAGAGGGATTTAGGAGATGTAGAAGAAATTTGCTTGCTTTATGTCAACTAGTGATGTACAGATGTTGGGACATTTCCAGCATTCCAGGGCACATTGCAGGGAGGAGGAGGGCAGGCAACAATTTACTTCCTACCATTCCTCAGCAGTGGAGCTTGTGTAGGTGTTGTAAAGTATCAGGGACCATTGGAGCAGTTTCTGTGGTGGCTATATTGTGACTCTGGACATTGCCTTAAAACATTTTCTCAGTGAAAGAGAACATGTCTTCCTGTACTCATCTCTTGTAAGCATTCACTTTCAAGCCAGTAGCTGGTGCTAGAAATGCTTTATCTTCAAATGCTGAGGCCTTTCATTTTATCAAGAATGTGTAAAGTTGGATTTGAAATCAAGTTTATGTAGGCAATTCTTTAAATGCTAAAAACTTTTGCTATTTTTTCTTCTTAGCAAGGTCTTTTATGTATGAAGAGAAATTTTTCAGCTCCTAGAACGCTGTGTGCACACATGTGCTTACTTGTTCACATGCTGTGCCTGCTTTCCTTTCTAAAGGCCAGTATGATGGTGTCTTCACCAAGGACTCAGCCTCAGATTTATTCTGTTAATGCTGTGCAGTGTCCTGCCACCAGCTCTGTTGCTGATATGGCCACTTGCCCATTTTTAGAAGGACTCCTTTAAACTGTGCTATAAACCCCCTCCTCCTTCCCCTAGATCTTAGAGATGCTTGAAGGTTGGATTTTTAGAACTGAGAGTCTACTTGGCTACTCTCTAATCATCATCTTCTGGCTGCTCCATCAAAACTGACGAAGAATGTAAAGACTGGGATGAAATTCCAGCTCATAGGAAAGAGCAGCATGACTCCTGCTGCCATCAAATTAGAGGGGATTTCAGCCCAGCTTTCACTACATGTTCAATCGGCAGCACAGCTCCAAGCAGCTGGATATCAATTACTGCTGGATCCTTGTAAACAACTTCTATTCTGCTTTGAAAGATTGCAATGCTCAATGTAACTGTTTCTGGTAAACTTTTGAAATTAAGGTGTTTTTTAATTTACATGAGCTACTTTTTCATAGTGTATGCATTAATAATATTTACATAAACTCCAGTGTGGTTTTTTTACTTGCTGTGAATAAGGCATGAGCTGTAGTCATAACTCTAATATAAATAGATTTTATTCATTTAAAAATGTCTACTGACCTCTTGAAATTGAGTATAATGCTGTAGCATTACTCTAAGATATCCCAGTAGGGCTCTGAACAGGCCATTAACATGCAGTTACACGGTGTCTGATTACAGGTGGGCTTTTCTTTTACACTTTATTTAATTGGGATTTATAAGAATTCCAGTAATTCTTACAATCCACATATACAATAAACAATGGGGTCATGACCAGTAACAGAATCACACGTGGGACTCTTGGAAGTCAGAGAAATGTTCCTGCTCTAGCTTCAGTATCAAAGGACCAGAGCTTCTGCACTGCTAACACTGTTGAGCAAAAAGCATCCAGATTGACTAAACTGGGATTTTCATAATGTGTCTACAAATGAAGTGGAAGCTGTTCTTTGCAGGCTTTCAGATGTATTAGTAGAGAATTTTCCTTCAGTTTTTAAAGTTTTAAACTTAAAAAATGGTCTAGAATGTTTTGCTGTATCCTTTCATCAGAGACAAGTGATAATCTGGGCATAGGAGCAGAAATTCAGCTGCATGCTCAGGCATTTTTCCTACCAACTATAGTTCTAGCAACGATCTGGAAATTTTGTTCAAGTCAGGCATGAGTCAAATCAGTCATACTCTGAGGAGAGAAACAAGACTAGCAGGCATGAATTTTCATGTTCGGCTCAGCGGGTGGTGTTTGTGCTCTGAAATATTTTGGTAAATGTCAGTGTCAACTTTTTTTTCTGTAATTACTTGAGTAAAAATAAGCACTAGCTGGAGCATTGCATTTCAGACTTGAGCTCAACTGTGATGCCATTGAAATGAAGGAGTTAGAAAATAAGAAAAACACAGAAAACTGTGGAGCAGTTCAGCTGTTGGGGAAATGTGTGTGCTTAGAAGTGAAATTGTTCATCAGTAACTGTTAAGTGATGGGGAGTGTAAATCCAGAGGCACAGCTCCTTTTAGAGGGGTCTGTTTTGAAAAGCTGTGTGGTTAAACCAGAATATGTAATGAAGGAGGAGGAGGAGTATAACCATCACCTCATGCCACTGGAAAAGGCAAGTAGTGAGGACATCAAGTTTAAAGGATAGATGTTTCACTTCAGGCTTTCCAAGGAAAACAAAAGTAAAATGAGTAAGGTCCAAAATGCTTTTAGAAAACCCGTGTTTAAAAGAAATTAACAAAAAAGGTAAGTTACTAATCGAAGACGTTAGAACAGTGTGCTTTCTGGTTTTCTGTTTGCATTTGTTTTAGCTTGGAACATAAATGATTACTCATTCTGCAGTGAACAGTCATCTGCTGCTTGATTTTACTCTGCATTCTCCTGTGCTGAAGGAGAATGCTTTGTATAAATACTGTTGAGGCTTTTAATGAAAACAAAATCATAGTAATACTTGTTAAAGTCTGAGGGGGTAGAGAAGAAGGCATTAAACTTATGTGTGACTTGACATGGTTCAGACAGGTTTTAGAATGCAAACTGCAGCAACAAGAGACATTAGAACTGTGATCTCTAGAAATTATATGGTGCTGTATTATTTGTTGCATGTTCTCACATTAAATAAAGCATCACACACCACTGGATGATACAGAACCATGTTAGACAGTCATTAGTTAGCATCTCCTTTATCCACTGAAATGAAAGTTCTCAGGTGACTCGGGCATTTCCTCATTATGCTTTGTAATTGATTCATCTGAGCATTTGGACTTGATTCATCTGAGCATTTAACTGTCATGAATGAGCTTTCCGATGGGAAATGAAGATAGAAGAGCTTAGTAGTTTTGAAGCTCTTTGCTGTAGTGCATTCCAGTCTCTTGTCAGCCTTACAAAAACCTTTCAGAGCATTGTGCTGGTAGAATAAACGATCTCCTCTGCTGTAGGAATGGAACACTGAAAGTATTCAAAGGCTTTTCTTGGCGTAATTTCTTAAAAAAAAAATTATTCTGTTGTGTTCTGTGATGTAGTTTCAGTTCTGAAGTCAAGAGAGCATTTAGGATATGGTCCTGAATTCTCGGAGACTGTGGGAGAAGGGGGACAAGTGGGGAGACCTTTAGGAGCTCAGGTCAGAATTCCATTGATAGCAGTTACCACAGTTCCATCTGTGACGAAACTGGGGGTTTGGAGTTACTGTTTCTGTGTCTCACAGGGTAGAAAACTTTCTGTAAGACTTTTGGTTGCTTTTTTATGTTTCCCCTGTTTGAAAGAGAACTTTGTTTAACCATGTAGCTTTGTTTCAGAAGTTACGTCTTCTTTACTGTGTATCTGTAAACCACAAAACTATCCTTGGCTGCTCCGTGATGGTGTCATCTGGAGCAAATCAGCTGCACAGTCCCTTACAACTACATCACAACACCTACAACTTGGTGCTTGGTCTGAACAAAGCAATGAGAATGTGACAGGCAGATAATGCAGGTTTATTTTGCTTGCAAGGTATATTAAGTGTGATGAAGGACTAGTCAGTGAATGCAGAAGTGTGTGCCTGGAGACTCAGATGCTACTTGGTTGGGTATGCAGGGCACAGTGTTGTGTCTGCCTTCCTGTGCCCAACTGGAGTTTAGGAGGCTTGCAGTGAGGTTGCATGTTAGCACAGAGATTAAAAGGATTAACTTGCCTTCCCTTAAACTGAAGTATGCCATCAATGCCAGAGGCTGTAAGCTAACCTAGTGAGTGAGCTGGGTGGGGGTCTGTTTCCTGACTACGTGGTGGTTCACTGTGTGTAGCTGAACTACCCCACTCTTTCACCTCTAATGGCTATGAGTAGAGCCCCTGGCCTGCCTTGACCCACGGCATCCTCCAAGAGAGCACCAGTTGCCGGGTGCTGCAACTGGAACAATGCAAACATGGATGGCCATGTACAAATATGCAAACCTATTTTGCGACCTTTTTAGCTGATAACCCTGGCCAGAATTTTAAGATAGACATCCCCATTTGTTACCCAAAGCCCTTTCCTGACCGAGCAGAACTTTGAATGGAAACAGCAATACCAATTTACAAAGAGTAGAAAAAAAAATGTGATGGTTACATAATTCCTGGGCATTTGGGAGACCTGTACCTAGGACCTTCTCAGTCCATCCTGCAGGGGTTCACAAGACTTTGGATAAGGCTATGGGGTGGCTACCTTTTCTATTTTTAGTCTCATGTTTAGGACAGTGATTGATTTCTTTGGTTTTTTTTAATCAAGTCAGACAATATCAAGTCATAACATTTGGGATCTCCAAAGGCAGGTGTCACTTCTCATGGTCTATTGGCGTCAGCGATATTCAGAATGGGAAACAGATCTCTAGATGCAGTCAGAAACTGCTAAGATTCTGGACATTTCTGGAAGTAATTCATAAAATTTTCAAGTAGAAATAAGGGAGAGACTATTTGGTTTGATCAGAGGTCTGCTTCTTTACTGCACTGTTGATTTCATTATAACAACTCCTTTTAGTTAAAGCAGATAACCTGCTGTACCTCCCAAACTATTGGCTAGAGTGTCTCCTTTTTAACTCTTTCCCATTTCTATAACCAGGACAATAATAATCTCTCTGATTTCTGGCTACCTCCGGGACTTGGTTAATATTTGCATAAGGTTGTAGGTTTTTTGCATTGGACATGCCCAACAAGTAAAATGCACAGACCCTCCCCAGAAGGCATTTTCTCTTCCTGTGAAATCAGAGTTCTGTGAGGCTAAGAAGGCATACTAAAGTATGTAATTAAGAACAGATTTAAATGAAAGGTTATGCTTTGCTAAACTTGCCAAGCCACATTATCTTCTGTTTGTGCACAGGCTGAGACCTAACTCAGATTTTCACCCATGTTCTTTGCAGTTTTGCAGAAAGTACCTGCATGTTTCCATTAAACATAAACAGAGGGAGGGGTGGGTCTGCTACTCCTGCACAGTAAGAAAAAGTTAGTAATTAGTTCTAATCAAAAGAAGGAATGTGGATGTGAAGATAATGAGGAGTTCCCTGCACTCCTGCTGGAAATATAGTTAGATATTAAACAGAGGTAACTTTTGCCATTTATATTTGCGGACTGGATTGTAGGTAGCTCCAGGTGAATATTCAGGAGAAGGGAGGCACCTGATTTCAACCACTTCATTTAGTGTCTAAATGACGTGATAATGCATTGTGTATGTAGCCTGGAGCCAAGGATGACTTGGTCACCTCCAGAACCAGAAACAGCATGGCTGTGAAAAATGGGGCAGTGCCTTTAGCCCTAGGGGGTGACGGCTGTTCAGTTCAGCACCATCTATCCCAGCTCTTTCTCTTTTGGAGCCTGAACAGATAACATTGTGTGACCCTGTCCTGTACTGCAGTCATACCTGCTCACCTGAAGCAAGAGATCTGAATCATGCAGATACACTCCAGACTGTTTCAATTCCATCCCAAGCCTCCTTTTATTCACGGTGAGTTATACAGGTTGCAGTTCTGATGGGATCTCAGGAGTCCCTTCCAAAGTATTTCAAATTTTGGAATAGAACACTGAAAGTCTCACTTAGGGATGGCTGCAAATCATCTCAGACTGTCAAGTGTGTAAGGTTGCAATACCCTGAAGTATAGATGAAGATGTAGCCTGTGATATCCACAGTCATGTAACCACATCCCATTACTCATCTTTTCATCAACTTTGGGATGTAGACAAACCTCAGTTGCTCTGGAAATCCAAATGTGTAATAAACTAGGACATGGCCTTGACAAATAGGTAAAAATAACATTTCTTCATCCAGTACATCAGCCATTTATCACGGATGATTGCGTGGTAAAGACAGTTGATTGTATTCTTTTAGTTACTACTCCAAATTTCCGGCAGTAAGTAGGTTTGGTTGCACTGTATTGCAAGAAAGAACCACTCCACTGTACAAGTAACTATTTTAGAGTGACAATTTCATCATGTATTGACAGACAGGGTGTAGGCTGGGAATAATGTCTTTTCAAAAACTTGCCTGGAGAAAGCAGTAATTCTGCTTGGCTGATGAGCTGAAATTCCAGCAAGGAACAGAGGGTTTCTATTTCTGATGTCTTTGAGCAGTTCCAGTAACTAATATTGTTAAACCATTGGGAACTGCACAGGCAGTAGAGCTGATGCATAGTCATGAAATGTGTTTCAAAATTATAATGAGGTTTTTATTACTTGCAAAGAGATTTTTACTAGCAAGCTGAAAATATCCACCCAAACCAGTTATAGAAGTTACTTTCCCTCAGTAATTTTCTAGTTTGCATTTTTCATTTTGGGGAATCTTTGCATTAAAAGCTCTCTAACAGACAGTACTACATGCTGCAATTAAATACAAATCTGTGCTTGCAACAACAGTCTGTTCTTATTGGAAAGACAGTGGATTTGTGACATTAATTGTGTCAGTGTATAACTGAGCATGAGGGGAACATGGGGTGTGAGCAAAGTATCTATCTATACAAAAAACATTTGATCCTAATTAAAAAAATATTAAGAGAAATTCCTTTAAAAAAAAGCTGCATAATTAAGACTGCACAGTTAAAAGTTATACCATTACATCTATAATTATGTAGTACTCCAGGCTTACTTGTTACAGCAGCATCACTGGGTTGTGTTTCTTCCAGCTAAAACAAACAGGAGCTTTGTTACAGTCTTCATAGAGAGGAAAATTAAATATGAAATATTGCCACCAATTTCCTGACTTCTCCAAAATCTTGTACCTGTGAAAATTTAATAATGATGTTCAGAAATCAAGCCCCAGTAATAATGAACTTTACACAGAATTATGATTTGAAGAATCCTACGCATCAAAAACTGCAGCTTTTTTTTTTTTTTTGTAGTTTTTCAAATTTTTTCAGGCAGTTGTCACCATTGTTTCTACCAACGTTTTTGTTGGTCTAGGCAATGCACCCTTTAGGTGGCTTCTGAGATTTTTTTTTTTTTCTGTGAACAAAGCTACTCCCATTATTATTTAGGAAAAATGGACACTCATTCCAGAGCTGCAGCAAGACAACCAGACACTATTAACAACTTTACTACCTTTAAGCACCTTGAGCTTATAAATGAGGGCCAAATTTTTACCGTCTAGAGGAAATAGGGAATGACCTTGGCAAAATCTGAAAGTCAGTTTAGCCAAGTATCATTCTCCACCGATGAGCAACAGTGAACATTTGAGGACAGGGTACAGGTACAGATAGATTCTTGATATATTCTCTGAAGTTTACAGTCTGCAGACTTTCAGCTTTAGAGCCTGCATTCATTTCATTATGTTTAATACTCTTACCCTGTGTGAACTTATCTTACTCCATTTTTAGTTTATCAGCCTGACCTTTGAAAGGCTATATGGCAAGATAACTTATAATATATGAAAAAGCACTTTTAAAAATTTTGTTTTTCTTACATTAGCTGTCTCTCCCCTTCTTGTACTACAGGGAACAATGAATAATCATTTGCATTACTTTTTTTCCACTTACAGTCTCACAGCTCAGATATTCCTGATGTGAAAATCAGAGTTTTTGCTGTTTCCACAAAGTTGTACTTTACTCATCTGTGCTAAAAATGCCTTTTATTGTATTCTCAGTTTAGGACTAATGTGAGGCTCTGTTCCTTTAAAAAAAGAACTAGCTTACTTTGAAAACTGCTCTATCACTTTTGTGTTGAATATTGCTACAACTTTTTTTTTTCCCCTATAGCCTAATTCCTCAAAAGAGCTTTTCTTTATCACCTTCCAGTTCTCTCTCTGGCAAATGCTTGGCTTTTAATATATTTTAAGAAGGGCTTTTTTTTTTTTTTTTTTTAATTATTATTAGCTTTTATGTTAGCAAGGTGATCCTCTAAGTCTATTTTCACTTGTATCCCTGGGGCTTTCTATGTAATTAGCTGTTCATATCCAGACAAGGAACACCTTGTCTGGATATGAGATAGACTTTTTGAAGGCTGGCACTTGTAGTATTACTAGAGAGGGTCCAAAGAAGGGTCAGGAAGATAGTGAAGGGTCTGGAGGGGAAGCCATATGAGGAGTGGCTGAGGTCACTTAGTTTGGCCTAGAGAAGAGAGTGAGGGGAGATCTCATTGTGATCTACAGCTTCATTGTGAGCGGACAAGGAGGGGCACTGATCTCTCCTCTGTGCTGACCAGTGTCATGACCTGATGGAATGGCATGAAGCTGGGTCAGGGCAGGTTTAGGTTTGATATTAGGGAAAAGGTTCTTCACCCAGAGGGTGGTTGGGTGCTGGAGCAGGCTCCCCAGAGAAGTAGTCAGCACCAATCCTGGCAGAATTCAAGAGGTGTTTGGACAATACTGTCAAGCACAGGTGTGACTCCAGTGCTGTTCTGTGCAGGACCAGAAGTTGGAATCAATGATCCTTGAGGGTCCCTTCCAACTCTATGATTCTATGAAGTCTTTAACTTTGCTTGTTCCAGCTCACATCCTCCTGGGCCAAAGGTGCAGCGAGGCAGGCAGCGTCTCCCCAGGGTCCGGTGTCCAGACTAGAGTGGAAAAATCCCAAATCAATCACTACCAGCTCAACGTGGTGTGAAGAGAGTCGCAGCATCTCCCGGCTGCCAGGACAAGAGGCGTGGAACTCCTCCAAAATGAGAACTGCCGTGGCTGACCAAGAGCTTTTTTAGATAACATACTCCCACCTAGCGGCCCTCTTAGAGTCAGGAACACGCACAGTCTCCAGCAAATTCTGAAGTTATCTATGGAACTCGCATTTAAAGGAGGAGTAAGTCAGATATTTACTAAGTCGATATAACTGCTCAGGAAGTCTAGAAATGTTGATTTTGAATTCCTGTTTAACTGCTGTAACATCTAACCAGAAATCAGGAAGGAACAGATAAACTGCATAACATTGATTCTATATTTTGTAGTATCGTTATTACTATAGTATATAGTTGCCCACAATGTAGTTAGTGATTCTCCGTTTACTTTTTCTCCACAGTTTTGGTTGTGTCACTAGGGTTCATAAGAAAAGACAACAGCTACATACAGAAAAGTATTTAAAAACCATTCTGTTAGGTGTACTTAATACCGTACAACGAGAAGTTGTGGGATTCAATGCATGCATAAGAGATAAAGATATAAAAATGTGTGTAGATACATAAATGAAAGAAACACCCAAAATTACAGGTAACATTGCTTCAGGCTTTCTTGTGTCTCCAAGCAGAGCACTACATCCCTAATAAAGAAAATTGCACAGAAGAACTCTTAAGTTGTTCAACTAGAACTGGTATTGACAGTCCAGAGTTTCGTGACCCAAGAGCTAGCTAGCAGCTCACAGCAGCTGGATTGCAAATTAAAAGGATGTGAACTGGATACATCCATGCCTTTTAGGGTTCTCAGTATAAACAGGAATTCAAAGCCAAGTATGAGCAGCCTAAAGAAAGACTGAACTCTTTCCACTTTTCAAATCACTCAAAAGGTATTTCAAATATTTAAATTTACGAAAAGTTTAATGACATCTTGTTGTCCACTGTTGTATTCAATGTAATTTATTTCCAGAATTATTTAACATTCAAAAGCTAATGTGTTATAAAAGTCTTCAGACTCCCCAGTGAACTTCCACTTAATGTCTAGTTCAGATCTGGTATGACCAAAGACTTTATAGTTCAACATCTATTTGGTTTCAGTGCTGAGATGTGCTCTAAAATTTTCACAGAAACTACCATAAATTCAAGTATTTTTTGGCAATATTTGCAGAGAAATAAAAAACTGAGCAGGGACTGTGTCTGATCTTCCCAAGCTCTTTGGTGAGGACTGACACACCAGTGGTGTGAGGGAGGAAGCCTGCTTTGTGGTTCTTTTTGTTTCACATCTTTCTGTGAAGAAAACCCTGGTTTCAAGCTTGTTGGGGCAGTAGCCATTTTCTTGCCAATCCTCTCCAATTCCTCCTCCTCAGAAGTGAAGAGGATATATCTCTGTTTCAGAATGATTTTGAAACGCCTGCCTAAAAGGCAGACTGGAAAGCATTCTGTATGGTGGAACATCAAAAGACCACAGTGCTGTAGGACAGAATTCTCTGTGTCTCCCTTGGCCTTTTCCTCCTTCCCGTCCTTTCCTCACTTCTCTTTCCTAACATTCACCACTTCTTCCACCAACCCTTTGTGGTATTACTTTTTCAGAAGTTCCCTTCTGCTCCTTCCCTCTCAAGCTTAACTGTATTGCCAGAAAACTGCCATTTTGCTCAGTGATAAAAGGCATGGTTTTGTCATGAAGGGCCCAGGTTTTTAGAGAGAGCAGACAGCAATAGTTCTGGACGTAATGAAGGGAAAAACAAGAGAGATTTTGTTTGTTGACACTTTATTAATGCACATTTTACATCACTCTACACTCAGAAATATTGGCTTAATGTTGATTCAATTCAATTTACATCAGTGCAATTGCTGACATTTGTACTCATCAAAGTGAAGACAGAACTTGCTCCAGGATCCATTTTTTCATCTGCATTTTATATCTTTCAACATTGCATGGTAAAATCACATGTGTTGAAGTGGTTTACCAAAAAAAGAAACTCTGTATTATGTTTTTTCTACAATTAAAATTCTGTTCCCCCAAATGCTCATTTCAGCAATATTAGATCTTATAAATTTGTAATTAAAAAGATTCTAACTTTTTAAGGCAGGAAGCTGAATGAGAACAAACCATGCATTTTAAGCAAAAAGACTTTTAGGGACTAGGATGCCTTGTTAGGAGGATCCTAACAAACAAGCATTGCAGTGCTTGATAAACCCAAAATAAAATGGACTGATCAACTGAAATGAAGTCTTTCCAGACAGCTTACTATATTTAGATTTACAATCATGTTATGTCTAGGTTTTCTACAGAGACCTTTGTCTAAACTTCAAAGGATGTCTGCTTCCTTTTAAGGTATTTCTACTACCTACATATCAAACGTGTCAGAGTGCAGAGAAATACTACATTACCCTCTTTTCCTGCTCCAGGCCATAGTAAAATTTACACTGACAGAAAAAAAGCTAATGCTTCTATTAAAGTATATTACAACTGCAGTAATAACCCACTCCAGGAATATATATGGTGGGACTTGCTAGCATTCTAATAAAACAGAAGTTAAATATCAAGGGCTTCTGTGTTAGAGCTACCTAAAATAACTTAGAAGGAAAAGCACTGTCTGGTGCAGTGCTATAAAATAAAATGTGTAAGAAAAAGACCTCTTTCACATTTTCAAATCTAGCCAAAAGAATCTATGTCATAATCTTGGCAAGACTGCCCTCATTCCTCATCCATCAGATTCTTGAGTGTTGCAACTAGACATTAGTGAGGAAACTAACTCAGTGTTAATAGGAACTGTATAAAGCTTTGGGGAAAACTGTATGTTATTTGCAGTTTAAGGTAATTTTCTAACCAAAATTGGTGCTGAATGCTTTTTGGTAAATTATGCTGTAATTCTTGTAAAATAATCCTAAAATAAGTTTCTGTTTATCAGGTTTGAAACTTATGTCCTAAGGTACTAATTCAATAGAGCAATAAAAAAAGAAATGTTGGGATAAACACCAAAATATGTTTTGGGCCTGGTTCTTTTTTCTCATTCTTTCATAAAAGTGCATGAAAACCAACTGAATAAAACTTTCAGGTGTGTAAAATCTCTTCTGAAGATTTGAAGTTACCTGACATAGTTCTTGATTTAATAAAAATATATTACATTTCCCTGTAAATTATGTCTTATTAAGGAAAATAATGAAGTTTTATTTAAAATTTATTTTTATTTTAAAAACTCAGATTATGAGTCACAGCAAAATCCAAGAAAAATACACGTTATAAACTGCTGTTCTTAGTAAAGCCTAATTATAGTGAATAGTCAGATCATAAAAGAAAAGCAGCTTGCACCTGTGGGTAAGGGTGAACTTAGAACTCTGATCCCCAATTAACACATGGGGAACAAAGGAAGAAAAGGATGATTAATTTCTTTTAGAAAGGAAGGGGTCTTTAGTTCCTATGTTCACCTTTGATGTTTAATAAGAGATTATAAAGATTGAGTACTTTTCAGTTATTTTTATATTCTCTTTTATTCCTGCCATAAAGTGAAAAACCTGATTGCAAATTTGTTTGTTCTCCTTGAGACCTTCTGCTGTACTCCAGAAATGGCTGTACATGGCAGACTCTCCAGTAAGGCGTCACATGAAATACAAAGAAAATGCTGAGGAATTGTGGGTTTGGGTGGGTTTTGATTTTTTTATATCTAAAAGAGGTTGCCTGCATTCCTTCAGTATTTCCCACCACCGATAACAACTGAGACACATGGAGTTTTTGGCCAGGGTGTGAGCAGTCTCTAAGCTAACAAGGACACACAGCAGCAGTCAAAATGTTACAAACTTTATTTGACTTAATATACCCCAAACTGATTCCTATGAAAGGGTTTGTGACTGATTTAGATGTGTGTGGGGGGAAAATAACCAAACAAAAACCAAATGAAAAGGTGCTGAAACTTAATCTTGAAGGCAATAGCTTTGGTATGCTGGCCATTCAAAACTTTTAAATGGAGACATACCATTGGTGAATTACATGATGAGTGTAACATGCCATTATTAATAAAAGCACAACATGCATTCTCTTTGAAAAACAAGCATACTTGAATGACTAAATGTCAAATAGGACGATGTGGCAATCCTATGGAAGTACAGATTCTAAGTGAGATTGCTAAAAGCTCTGGAATATATTCATAATAAAGATGAATTTGCACATCCTGACGGTATAATTTCAGGGATTCTCTGCCTTAGTGCAGCTCTGCCAAGTGCAGATGAGCATGTAAACCTTAGGAAAAGGGAGGGGGAGAAGGTTTTGGTGAACATCTATTGGTTTGAAAGCCTTTAATTTGCTAGACGGGGGAAACAGGCCACAACACTATAACAATTTAAAGAATTTGCAAGCTAATCCCACTCCCTGTATTAACCCTGGTACATTTGATGTATGCCTTGCCATGTGAGCCCTAAGGAGCTGCGTCAGGAGTTCAGGAGCTGTGTCAGGAGCACAGGGCCTCCAACCCAACTGGCTTGGCAAGTGGCTGCAGTTGTGAAGCTCATGGGGTTCATTTCTAAGAGACTAAAATATTAACTGAGCCAACAGGGTTTGAAACCAGCCGTTTCAAATGTATCTCATCCCAGGCAACCAGTGAGAGGACAAGAGGATGAAGCCTTGAGCTGCTCCCATGGGAGGTTTAGGACATTAGGAAGGATTCCTTCACAGAAGGCGGTGATCAAATGTTGGAATGGACTGTCCAGGGAAGTGATCAAGTCACCATCCCTGTGTGAGACAGGAGGCAGCACTTAGTGCCACTGTCTAGTGGACACGATGGTGTTGGGTCATAGGCTGGATTTGACTTTTTCAGAGGTCTTTTCGAACCTCACTGATTCAGTGGTACTTCAGTTTGGTGTTACTGGTCAACACGGACCTGAACAAGCCTTAACACTCCCTAAAGCACGAGTGCATGCCAGAGCACATCCTCAAGGCCCAAATACGCCATTTCGGATCCGATAAAAGCCTAAGGATACAAAGAAATATAGCGGCCAGGTTCTGAAAACAGTCAGGGTGATCTCGGGATGGGGTACCCGTTTGGATTGGAGCGGGAAGGGAATGCCGGCGCGCTGAGGCGGCGGCGCCGCGCGCCCTCCTGAGGGCGGGAGCAGCACGCGCCGTCCCAACGG